GGGGGGGGGGGAGGCGGCGTTGCAAACTGCATCACCAGGTCGGGAGGTGCAGGGGACACAGGACCTTCGGGGGAACACGGTGCTCTGGCCTTGAAGGGTGAGGGGCAGTGAAGGGCCAGCGGCCTCCAGGTACAAGGGGACCCAGCTGGAAGGATGGGGGAGGCCGGCTAGCGATCCGCCAGATCCCAAAATGAGATAAAGATTCAGGTGGCCATGCGCCCAGACCGCCACAGAGCAGGGGGCCTGGGCCGGCGGGGCTGGCGGTGTGTGCCGGGCACTGGATAGCCCAGAGTCTGCTTTTCGGACTCACACAAAGGGGAGGCTGTAGCCTCACGGACACAATGAAGCAGCCTGCTGGGGGCTCCTCTCAGTCACCGAAAAGCCTACAGGAGGAGACCAGAGGGGCTGCAGGTGGTCACCGGGAAGAGCGGCAACTCGTGACCTCCGGTGGGCGAGCGGTCACTTCCCGAGGCCAGCCTCAGACAGACCTGGACACCAGGGGCTCACTGCTGCGCTCAGACCTGGCCGCTGGCCACACAGACCAGTGGCCACCAGCAGGTGCACGAGTCGGGCCAGGAGGGCAGGGTCCCTGCTCCTGGGGGCTCCTGGGGGCTCCTGAAGCGCTCCACCGCATACCCGAGGGCGCCCGTCGGCAAGGGGCCATCAGGATGGCCATGGGTGGCCCGGGGCACGGAGCCCAGTGACCCCTCTGTGCCACAGGACCCCTGGGCTGCCTGGAATTCTACGTCTGGACGACACGGCCGGGACTCCTCGCAGCTCAGGGAACCGTTGTGGCCTCGACTCATCCGGCGCTGACCCGAGGAGGCCGGCCACCACAGGGTGACAGCCGCAGACGCGGTGATAGCAAACCTAAACCCACAAAACTGACGCAACGGTGAGAACTCCCAAGACCCACGGCTGCCACGGTCCGGACCCATGAGGCTTGAGGACAGAGCCTTCCGGATGTGCCTTTGGCATGGCTCACGCAGGGCTCCGTGGGGCACACCTGGCCCACGACGCAGCCCACTGAGCCACGGGACGCTGCGGGGCAGCTTGGCCCAGGTTCTGCCAGCAGGTCTACACACAGCACGACACCACCAGCCCCTGCACACTTACACCTCCCTCATCCTGTCCAGTGACTTTCATGTGAATACTGTGAGCTGTATCCTACGTATACGGGGCGGGGGGGCGGGGGAGGGAGGCGCGCGGCTGAGACCCTGCGATGGAAGAAATTCTTGAAAAAGCCGAGACGGGTTGGGCTGAGCGATGTCTGCCCACGGGGGTCTCCATCGAAAGTGTATTTTGGGAGCATCAGCACAGGGTGGGGGCTCTTAATTCCCCCACAGGTGTGCTGTCCGACATACCAGCCACGGACCACACGTGGCCACGGAGCTCTGGAAATGCAGCCAGTCCGTGTAGAGACGTGCTCCGTGTGTGGAGTCTACAAAGGTGTCCCAAGGTACGGTATGAACAAAGCTTTCAACATGTTACACGTTGAAATAGTAGCTTAGAAATATGAGTTATTTAAGATGTACTAAGACTGATTTTACCGTCTGGTAGCCAGGCGCCCAACGGTGCCCACGGATCCCTGCCTCCCAGTCCTCCCCCCTCATCTGGGCTCCTCCCAGGCTGTAGCAGGGCTGGGCATGACCAGCGGAATAAGACGGGGGGGGGGGGTGTCACTTCCCAGACGGCCACAGAAGACTCTGGGCCTTCCACCTTCGACACTGGCATTGTGGCCACTAGGGATGCTCACTGTGGGTGGGGCTCTGCTGGTGGTGAGGCCTGAGTCTCCCATCCATAACCCCATGGGGGAGCCTGGAAGAGGGTCTCACAGCCCTGAGGGCAGCCTCACAAGGGACCCTGAGTCACAACCACCAGCTGGGCTGCCCTCGTCGCTGACCAAAGAAACTAAGAGATAAGACACATTTGTTGTTTTAAATGGCTGAGTTTGGGGTGTTTTGTTACACAGAACAGATCAATTATACAACCGGGGGTGTACGGCCGGAGGGTGGCTACTGGGAAACGTACAACTACCTTCACACTTTTAATCTGCCCTGTCTGCACCTATGGGACAGCGTTTCTCTACGTGGTTCTAAAAACAGTGGAGCATACCGTGGCCACGGGTGTCACGAGCAATGTCAGCAATGTCGCACACTCTGCTTCAAGCCACTAACACTTGGCTCTTTCCAGCCTATTTAATTCTAACCCTGGGCTTAGAATGAATATTTACAGAGACTAACTACAAATAACAATAACAACAACAAATAAATCTGTTAGTTCTTCTGATTAAATTTAAATGAAAAGAAAATAGTAATATGACTTTTCCAAATGAAAAGAAAATAGTAATATGGCTAAAGGATCAATGGGAAACTCTGAGAAAAGACAAGTCCCACGAAGGCAATACAAATGATTTACAAATATACCACCCAAAGGTGATCACTGTCAACATTCCGGCCTTTCTTCTCGCTGGTAGTTTTTCTACTTGGGGACATGTTATATTTTTGGATGAAGTTAAATGACAAGCACGTTCCTTAAGTATGCTCCTGCGCCTTGCGTGACCTTCCCATGGTGCGCTGCACCCGCCTCAATTTACCCAACGGGCGTGCCGTTGCCGGGCGGGAGGGCCCCTGGCTGGTCGGTGTCAGCACAGGAACGTCCTGTGTGTCATCGTGGTGTCACAGCTGGTGGGCAGGGGCACCTCGGCAGCGGCACTCGGGCACTGCCAGGAACCTGGCGCTGGGGAGGCCCCCGCAGGTACGCAGCGGCCCCACCTCACTTCTGGGGAACCTGCAAGGACCTTGGCGTGGGGACCCCACTTGCAAAGAACCTGGCATTAGGAAAGCCCCTGCATGTGCGCAGGGCCCCCGTCGCCCCACTTACTTTGATGTGCTCGTGCAGCTGGGCCTCGTGCTGCCGGGAGAGCTGCTCGTGCTGCCTCTGGAACTCGGCAATGAGGATCTGCCTCTGGAGCTGCTGCTTCTGCTTGAGGGCCAGCAGCTCCTGCTGCAGCTGCTGCTCCCGGAGGGTGGGCTCTGCCACGGGCAGCGTGAACTGGTGGTCCAGGCGGAGGTCCATGGGCACCGCCGGGGGCGCGACCTGCAAAGGCAGCGCGGAGGCCACATCCACTGCGGGAGAGAGCACAGCACAGAAGCGCCCGTCACTTGCAGCGGCACGGCGACCCCGGGCCCCTCCCCGCCCCCTGCCCGATGCCGCGGGGCAGCCCCCAAGGGGGACCCCTGAGCTAAGGCACGCTGGGCCTCTCTGGCCTGACTGGCTCAAAATGCAGGGCTCGGGAGGCCTCTGGGGCGCTGCATTCCTCAAGTGCAGGGACGGCAGGAGTGAGTGGGAGGTCAGGCCGGGATACACACCCGCGCGCGCGCACGCCCCGCCCCGCCCCCCGTGAGCAGAGGCCCCCCGACGTCATCTCCGAACGTCCACAGGGAGACAGAAAGAAACTGGCTCTAAGGATTGCTAAACACGAGTCCGCACAGAGGCAAGCTGGCCTGCGCTTTTCTTCTTTCTCGCGGGGCTCCTGAGGACTTCGCGGAGCAGGGAACAGCACAGAACAGCGTGTGCCGCTGGAGTGGTCCAGACCGACGCCGGCAGCCGGCGTGTTTCCATGGAGAGCGAGCACCCTCTCAGAAAACATGTTTACCGACCGCGGCCAATAGCCGCCTGCCGCCCGGGCACGTTCGTCGGGGCTCTGTGCCGCTTGCTCCACAAAGAAGCGGAGTTTCCCCCTTGTACTAACGGACTGCCAAAAACAAGCTCAGGTGGTTTTGATTAGAAACAGAAGCTAAATCAATCTTGATGCCTACAAATCAATACCAAATTACAGAGTGGAGAGGCACGCACGAAGTTTTAAACTCTGGCCATCACACGGTAACCCGACATGGGTCCATACGCCTATAAGCAGGTTCGTGTCTTCAAGTGACACACCAGAGCCAGGGGCCCCGGGGCAGGCGGCTGGTGCCTCACCCTCCAGGGGGCCCAACACTCCAGCGGGAATTCAAATCCAACAGAGGTGGGCCAGCCCCGCTCCTTACGGTCAGGGCCACCTCTGGCCACACCCTCTGTAGGTCGGGCCACGTGATGTACCGGACCTCGTTCGAGCATCTCCTGACTGGCCCACCCACGTGCCCTGGGACCCGATGCCCAGACCACAGGGCCCACCAGTCCCAGCCACCAGCTGGTTCCATGGGGAGTCAGTCCCTGCAGCCTCACACGCCTGGAGTTTCTGGTAAATTGCCTCTTTCATGGAACTGCTCCTCCGGACGGAGCCCTGCTGTGGTCACGGCACAGGCATAGGTGCTCCCCTGCCGTTCCGATGAGCCAAGGCCCCGTGCCAGTCACCTGGCCTGAGCCCCAGTGTCCTGGGCAAGCACGGGGCCATGTAGCCTGCAGGGCACAGCTCACACGGCGGAGTCCGGGATGCTGTCCCAGGCAGGGCGTGGGCCCTCTGGCTGCTCCGTGGCCTGGAGCCCTCTGAGGCCCATGGGGCTGGGCTGCCAGGGGGGACCCCGGGGGCCTGGACCAGCTTGACCTTAAGGAGTCCTCACCCTGGACCACAGGGAACAGAGGGAAGAGACAGAGCTGCCCAGAGGGTGGTGGGAAAATACTCAGTATTTGGCCCTCTTAAGAAAGGATCCAGGGGCGCCCGGGTGGCTTAGTCGGTTAAGCGTCCGACTTTCGCTTAGGTCATGATCCCGCGGTTTGTGGGTTCGAGCCCCGCGTCGGGCTCTGTGCTGACTGCCAGCTCAGAGCCTGGAGCCTGTTTCAGTCTGTGACTCCCTCTCTCTCTGACCCTCCCCTGCTCACGCTGTCTCTCTCTCTCTCTCCTAGAAATAAATAAAACATTAAAAAAAAAAAAAAAAAGAACGGATCCAATTGTCCTGTCCTCTGGGCCCCAACGAGGCCGCAATAAAACGCCAGCGGACCCCTTCTCTTCCGTTTCCCCCAGTCGGTGATATGCAACCCCAGCCGTTTAAACATATGTAACCATTTATTTCTAATGGGGTTTCAGGCTTGATATGTTAAGAGGGTTTTATTTGCTATTTGAGTGAGAAAAATCTAGACGAATAAACTTTTTCACGAACAGGAGGGGCCAGGGAGCAGTGCTCTCCTACCCACCCCCATCGCACTGAGCTGGGAGAGACTAGATTTTATCAACTGCCTTTCTTGATCATTTTTATTATGGAATAGAGAAAAATGGGAAAATCATAGAAATAGCAGCAGTTTTAGGAAACCTCCATGTTTTCCTCATTCGCTTCAGACTTTGTTTTAAGGAATAAACACGAGGGCGGGAGGCCAGCTCTGAGAGCAAACATGGAGGAAAGAGAGCATGACTGGGCTCCTTACGGGACTCGCCACATGCTCTTCTCTCTCCAGGGAGCGTGTGATCCTTCGCTCCCGAGGGTGAAAACATCATCGCTGCGCACGGCTACCAGGTTTCACCCTTGTGCAGCCACGGAGGCAGCGAGGAGCCCGTTCTCGCGGGACAGGCCTCCCCGGGCGAGCCGGCCTTTGCTTTCTAAGGATGAACCTGACTGTCGTGCTGGGTTACACACGCCCACACAGGCACGGACGCGAGCCCGTAACCCTTGCAGCGAGAAGGCTGGACTCCACCTTTGCAGGCGAGAACACCCCCGGGCTGCCTGGTGAAGCTGCAGTATAAAGGGGTTCAGGGGCCCATCAGAAATATCTGGCAGTTAATCCCTGTAGATACTGACCACAGAGCAACTTTTTAGCAACTTCAAATACATGACAGGCTGAACTTTTCTACGGACACATTCATTTACTGGGGAGAAGTTGGGGCCTCCTGCTCCGTGGTCGGTGTGGGGACACCCCCAGGCCAGCCTGTAGCAGGGCCAGGGGAGGGTCCACACAGGTGCACAGCGTGAGCAAGGGCCCAGAGGTCAGGGCCTAAGTGGGGGGGTGAGGGGAGACAGGTTGAGGAAAAGCTCAACCCCCACTCAGAGGGCAGAGTCTGCACCTGCAAATCCTGGAGTGTTGGTACGGGACCAGAGGCGGAGACAGTGCCGGCGAGGAAGGTTGGGCAGCGGGGTGCTGGCCGCGGGGAAGCCCGGGGTGGGATGGGAGGGCATCGCAGGGGAAGCAGCGTCCAGGTGGGGGCACGGGCAGGAGCAGGCTGCTTGGATGGTGCCTTCTCAGCCACGGGCGACGCGGGCTGTGCACCCCCCCCCCCACGCAAGCTGGCGTCCACTTCGTTTCCTCAAACCCCTCCCAGATCCTTCTGGGTCTGGAAGCGTAGAGAATCTTCTAAGGGAACTCTGTCTGGCAGCCCCTGCTTGTCCTCCCACAGGCACCAAAGGCTGATGTCAGAGGATGCTCGGTGGTAAGGGTCCCGTGGACAGCGGCAAGGGCCACGGGCAGGGTGGGGTGGGTGAGAGCCGGGGCACACGCCGATATCAGCGGGAAGGTGTGCTGTTCTCACCACCACATCTCTTCTGTATTTACCACTTCTTAGGAAGGGCGGTCCTGCTGCCTCAGTTTACCATTCTGAGGTATCACACGAGACTCTGTCCTGCTAATGAGAGCTAAAAGCGGAGAAGCAGAATGGAAAGCTACTCATTACCTGCACCAGCTGCCCTATAAGCAGCCCCTGCCACTTCCTCTCAGAGGGGAAGCATCAGCGAGTCTGCAGGTAGACACGACGGCAAATGTGGGAACGGACGTGGGACAAGGAAACTCTGGTGAGGCCTCCCGAGAAATGCCGCCTCCATCCCTCCTGCGCGGGCAGTCAGGGGGCCCAGCAGGTGGCAGATGTGGAGGGCGCGGAGCCGCCCCAGGCCTGCCCTGCACACTGGCCGGGGGGGTGGGGGGGGCGGTCACGACCACTGCCCCCTACGTTCCAGCTGCTGGCGGGTGCGTCAAACATGACTCGTACTATTTCTGTATCAAAAACCATTTGAAAGGCCGGCGTTCTCAACAGAAGCTGCCAGAGCTTCTGACCCAGAGCGCCCTGAAGAAAACAACACAACCTTCTCTACTTAAAGAATGCAGCATCAAAACAAAAAGGCCTGTATTCTCATGAATATTTTACGTGCAGTAGAAAATTGCTTTCATAGGTTGTGCCTTGAGAAACACATTAATGCAATCGGACTCATGACGTTAGTACAAGCACAAAGACCATATTCAGCATTTTGATAAGAAACGGCAAGGCCTGTGCTGTGTGGATTACAAGTTCATAATCAGAAACTGAAAAAAAATCTGCTAGTCTCTATTTTTTAAAATAAATGATCATAAAAAAGGACACTGTAATTTTCCATTACGTGGGTCAGATCCTCTCTGCTTCACGCCGTCATACAGATACGAAATAAAGACAAGCACTATTCTCTAGAAAACACGGCCAAAGTTTAGGATCTGTTCAAGAAAAGAATGACTCATTCAGATGCAGGGAAAAATAATAGATATTTCAAGCATGTAACTATGATTTCCTCTTACTCTGACATTTTGTCTGTGTCTGGCGGGGGGAGGGGGAGGGAGGGAGAGGATGTATTGGAAATGCATAACTTATTTAAAGTGTTTTCATCTTTACTGTGAAACACCTCGCACATGCTGAAGAACACGCAGTTAGGCCACAGCAAGAGTGATGGATGAAGGCCCGGGAAGAATCAGAGAATCGCCCCAGACTGTGTGCCTGCCCCGAACCCCCAACAACATTCTGGCTTTGTCAAGTACCTCCTGCTTTTCTTTATGGGGATGCCATCCATGCACGTGTTCCCAGACAAACACATTATTTTGCTGAGCGCAGTGAGCACAAGAGGGTGATAGACTCCCAGGAAGAGATAAGTCTCGAGTCCCTTCTGCCTCCGGCTTCCAGGACAGCTGGCAAGAAGGTCTGTCTGGGGCGAAGTGACGAGTGAGCCCCTGGGACCCAAGGGCCACCCCACCGCGCCCTCTGGCGGGGCAGATGCGGCATTCCTGCCCCCACGTCGGCTGTGGCCAGCCTCCACCCTCAGCTACGAGCCACCATGAAGGCCCCGTGCGGAAGAGCGTGTGCTCGCGTGAGCGAGGGGGCGGGACAGCGACCTGGCCCAGATAGGTCGGCGACAGAGGAGAGTCGGGGTCAGGCTCAGCGGCTTAGGCTCCCCGGGCACAGACT